AAAAAAAAACGTATAAAACCGTATAAAATGTATAAAAGCGTCATCCCTACGTTTTTCCACTATTGGGTCACTAACACAATTTTGTCCCTCAATAGTGGGACTTCTTCTGGTTCATTGACATTTAATAAAGTGTTTAATTACTCTCCATTTGGCAGAGCTTCACAAGCATTGCCATTTGACATATTCCCTTTGATGTCATACAGATATAATGTCACAACTTATGAGCATGAAGCCAAACAGCAGCATCTCCACGAGTTCCCGTATCACACTCCTTAAGTAAAGCGCGTCAAATGGCTACTCACATTTAAGATAACGGCATAATCCGATGCTAATTTTATAATTGTTTTGCGCAATCAACTGTTTTTGAAAGGGAAAAAAAACCCAGTCTGTACAGGATGCGATAGAGTCCCTATATATAAGTTTGACGCCGGTTCTGTAGAACTCAAGCAGAAGCTCCGCTGTTGCTCTGAGGACAATTTACGGTCTCTTAATGACTAACGTGCTGGACACATCAGAATAAAGTCATCATTTTCTTTGCTTAGATATTATTACTGGGGAAGAGGCTGCCCTCCAGGGCTTAAAAACATAAATGCACAGTACATAATGCCTCCCAATGTCATCATTTAGCTCCCAGCTGATTTGCAAACAAATTACAGGTGCCTGCATGATGGTGCTGTGCAGGCAGAGGTCATGCATTAATGTGTTCGGGGAGACTAGCAATAACACAGACTGCACTATTAAAAACATTAATGCTAAGTCCTGCTTATCAAGAGACACTTCTGTGGGACAGAGCGCCGTGGTCTACGGGGAGAACCGTCCCAGCTTTAATTTGGACTTCCCCTGAATAATTAGATGCCACATAATGGATGCATCATTTCCGTTACAGGCTGTATAAGCAGAGCAGATGATTTCCCATCGGTGATCTGGCGACGAAACAGCTGCAAACTCGAGGTTATGTCTAGGTTCTGTCGAAACAGACGCTGATATTCTGGCATTGCTAATTTTTAGTGATTTAGCATCAGTCTGAAAGGAGGTCTGATCCTTCTGGACCTGGCGAGTATGATTTCGCTGTGATCTGTGGGCATTCGTCACCGTGCTCCTGATTGTTTTATGGCAGGGCCCTGACGCTGAGTGACAGGCGGGACAGACCCGCCCCCCCAGAAATGACCAATCATATTTTTACCGCTTTTCACTTGTTTCAAACGTTTGCACTGGGCCTGGCAGAAGGCTTTTGGTGGCTGGAGGCCATGCAGGCTTCTGTAGCAGAGCCCTTGGAAAGTGTCTCTTTGACTTGGAGAGTGTGTGTCACTGTAGCCCCCAGCGACGTCTCAATGCGGCTGATTTACTGCCAAATCACACAGGACCTGCCACCATTGTGCTTACTGGCTCCGGAAGTGTCGTTACACATACATTACAAATGAAAGAGTCCCCTGCCTTCCTGTTCTGAATTAGACGCGAAGGCAGAGGAGGTGAAGCCAGATCGGCCTCTATACTGACGCTGAGTACTGGATAGCCTGCGATGGCAGCATTGCCTTTCACATTTTATACAGCACTAATAATATAAATGTACCTCTGATTGTATGTGGGACAGACCCAGCCGTGCTGGTAGGGGCAGGGGTTGGGAGGGGGGTAAGTGGGATGAAGGCAGATGGAGATTCTACCCACAGGGGTAGAATCTAGCTGTAGGTGGGCATACAAGCCTAACATTTACAAATAAGAGGCCTGTTCTACCCCAAATGGTTACGGACCTGTGTCTCTCTGGTCTGTTTTACTAATCCGCTGGGCCCTGTGTCATTCCGTCGGCTCTGTTTCTGATCCAAGCCGCTCGCTTTAAGAGCGAGGGATTGATTTTGGCTGGCAATGGAGTCAAGATTGATTAAATTATAACAGAACAACCTTGATAGATTTGTTTTTCGGTAACCCCCAAGGCTTTGCTGTGAAACAAAAGCTGATCTCACTCTACCATAAGAAGCCACATGATTTCAGCTTTGATGCCATTTTATATATGTGATCGTGATCATAGGACTGGAGGGGGGTTAACTGTTCTTGCTGCCATTTTACCAAGGAGATGCGTGTCCACTGACCAGCCGCCATTCCTGTAGTTAATGTCAGTGTTCAGTGTACCGTGTTCAGTGCTTGCTGTGTTCAGGTTGCGGCAGGTCACATGCTGCTCTTCCGGCACGCCAGTTGTGGGTGGAAGTGGAAACATAGCAAATAGGACCCCCCCCCCCCTTTTGAGAGCTGTGAGGGGGTCACACCTGCTTCACACCCTCATTACTTTATATTCTGCAAGAAAAGAGAAGACATGTAGGAAAAATGCTTAATTTGAGACTAAAAATATGTTATCGATTGCAGACAGGGCCTCTTATTTTCTGCTTTATCTTCTAAGTGTCATTCTGAAAGTGTGGCATTTTGACCCCTGGCTCCCTGTGCAGATTGGATTTTTTTCAGCCCCCTCCCATAAAATAGGGACCTTGAGCCTAAAGGACGAGCAGGATCCAGCGAGCTGGAGAGAAGCGGACGGTGAGTCAGTTTTACCTCAAGCGTTCCGAACAGCTGAGCTTGGCGTGCGACTCACAGAGTCCAGGCCATTTGCTGCCCTCCTATTGGTCTGTACCCAAGAAAGTGAGAAAAACTGGCAGGCAAAGACTCTGTATTCCTGCTGATAACCGATAAGACCCCTATCTATTTGGTAACTGCACGCTCTTCCACAGCCCCGTCTGAGCAAACGGTGGAAGCTTTACAAGCTCCAAAGGGTCATTGTGTCTCACTTACAGGTGCCCCAGCTGATTGGCAAGCTTTGGACTTCAGTCAGCAGGTGGCAGTAAGAGCCGCTGAACTGCACTGCGTTTGCAAGGCGAATCAAATGATGAAGTGGGTAACAAGCTGACTGATTCATCTCTTTCAGCATGGGGAGCTGCTTTCATGCTACGAAAAATCCTGTGAACGACTTCGAAATGTAGACCTGCTCTGGTCCAAATGGCAATAAGAGCCAAGGGAGGCAGAGATGGGGAGGGAGGAATGGGGGCAGCAATTCTGGGGAGAGCATAGAGGATATAAAGACTTGCGTCACAGAGCGTCACCATGTAGACGGCATGATACAGGTCCTTAGTGATCTGTGGGTGCTCAGTTATACTCAGTTTACTCGCACAGGTGAAGTACTTGGGATGCTATTGTTTGCTATAACAGTGTTTCCGAACCCGGTCCTGGAGGATCCCACATTTTTGCTCCCTCCCAGCTCCCAGAAGCACCGACATGGACTGTCTGGGGGTCCCCAAAGAGCAGGTTGGGAAAAACTCTGTTAGAGACTTAATTAGTCTATAGTTGCATCATACAGGGTGGCAGTATTTTACTAGTCCTGTTAGCCTTATGACTTGGGCTCAATCACAAAAATTATTTTCAGGAATCGTTCCCATTGGCTAGTTTGTGGTCACATTCTCCTGTGTGAAATGTCCTGCCTGACCCTCCCTAACATGGGCCTGATGAGCCACGCTTGTGGCTTGTTACCCCTCATAACTTATAACCACCATCACCAAGGTGGTTCACTCACAGTGAGGCCCAGCTATTGCACTGCAGCGGCGCTGACCTCTGCGAATTCCCCAAATATGGGAATGTAGACTACATAATTTCTGGCAGCGGGGGACTGCATTCACCCTCCTTTTTGTGGGCAGTGGCGGCCTAATGGTTAGGGATGAACACTTGTAATTGAAGGATTGCTGGTTTGAATCCCCGATCAGCAAGGCACCCTAGGCAAGTTACTGCCCCCAAGCACTGTCCCCTGGGTGCTGAATTAGCTGCCCCCTGCTATGTCACGATGTCACATATGGGTTAAATGCAGAGGACACATTTTGTTGTTGTGCCGTGGTGTGTCAACAATGGCTTATCACTTCAGCTAATAGTTAGTTTTTGTATTTAAGTACCCGTTTGTCTCTTCAGCCCCAGTCTGGTCCCTGATGTCGCTCTTCCTGTCTGCCTGTGTCCTTCCCTGTACTCGCCTTCTTGTTTTGACCCCTTGCGGTCTTGTATGTTTTCCTGCTTCCGTTTTGTTCCAGTTATGCTTTTTTTTTTTTTTCTCCTAACGCTTCGTGTCATTCAGTCTCTGGGTCATGACACCATGGAGATAAACATTCACAGAGGGGCTAAGGTTCCCTTCCCATGTCCTGACCCTCCACCCTCCAAATAGAGTTACATTTTTTGGACACAGGGCTAGAAATGAACTTCCATAACACAGCAGATTGTAACAAAATATGCTGAACATTATTTTTCATTGCAAGCACTGAGTTAGTCTGTCTGCAGTTCCGGCCAGCTGTGGAAACCACTAGGGTAACCTTGACACATTAGGCAGAAACTGCAGTCTGTTAGCTCAGCTGAGGTGTGTATTCATCTCAAGTTTCTGTATGTTTGTACAAAAAAAATGAGAGAAAGTTGAAACATGAGGCCAATCCAAGTGAAAGGACCAGGAGGCTTTGACCTTAAACTAAATCAGCATAAAACTTACGCAGGAATCCTAAATCCAAGTCCATGTGATGAGGATATGAAAAATCCTCACATAGTTTTGTAGCCTGGTGTTATTCAATGAAATGTAGAAGCATGATGGGTGTTAGTACTCACTGTGTTTTATAGCCTTCAGAGCATTTGAAGGGCTGGTTTGATTTACAACCTGTGGATAATTTTTTTTTTGCTCTATAAGTCATCAATGTACTACCTTGGTATGTAAACAGACACTTGCTGTGCACACACTTGAAAAACGGCATACTGTATTTGTCTAATAAAACCATCTCTTCATAATTTGTAGTACATCACAGATGGACTTCATGTATCTAAAAGGCAGGATGGAATTTGTGGCAGATTCATTCCCTGGGAGCTGTTTAAAAGGTGCAGGGCATTCCCTCAGTATCCCTCAGTTAAAAGGTGCAGGGCATTCCCTCAGTATCTCCCATGCATACCTAGCTAAGTGCGCCCAATAAAGTCCGTCCTATCTGGTACTAGCCAGGTGTACCTAATAAGGAGACTCCTATCCAGTACTAGCCTGATGAGCAGGTGAAGTTTATTTTTTATTATTTTACAATCTCAGCAAACACTTAAAACACTTCAAACATTTAAACACTTGAGACTTGAGATCAACTCCTCGAAAAATGTTACCTCTGAGCATTTGAAACTGGCGGGAAGCTCCTCCCAAAAACAACTGGTGTTTGCTATCGAGAAAAAAAAATGCTAAAAGGTAAATGTATATCTTAATGCAAAGCATGGCAGCTACATATCAAAGCAAGCATCTTATTGGCACAGTGCCATTACGGATATCCAGAAAAGCAATATCATTATTCCGGATTGCTGATAAATCATCGTTTGTTGAATGAATGACTAATGCTGCTCTTGCACTTTTCCTAACTCACAAACCTCAAATAAAGCAGGCATTTTCAGTTCAAATAAAGCTGCCAATATCTATCAAATATCTGTAGATATAAAAGGTACCAATGGCAGCTTAGTGGGTAGCAGGGGCTACAGGCGCAAAACGTCATTAAACATCCACTGCTTTCAGTTATGCTGACTGCTCCTGTGAGGGGCCAATTGAAGGCTGGTAATATGTAATTCAGATGTAAAGATGATGCTGTTTGAATCGCATATCCAGTTTGCTGCCGGGGTCCTTGGTAACTGCAGGGCTGCCAGCACAAACGGGGATGGGGGCAAAAAAAATATTTAACAAATATTTACAACTACACAAGGGTCCTGATTTATTAGCTGTAATGTATATTAATTACTCTAAGAATTAGCTCAACATAAAATTGGTATTATTTCAAGTGGGAATAACAATTTGCCATTTCATTTCATGGTTGTACTTCATGAGCATGGCTCCTTCAAAAGATCTGTACAGTACATCATCCACCTGCCCCCCAGAGTACTGACACGCCCCTTTAAAATGTCTGTTCACTCCATCATCCCCCTGCCCTCCGGAACAGTGACATGCCCCTTTAAGATGACCGTTCACTCCATCGTCCACCTACCCTCAGAACAGTGATGTGCCACTTTAAAATGACCGTTCAGTACATCGTCCTCCCACCCCCAGAGCAGTGACTCACCCCAGATCCCGCTGGCTCTCCTTGGTGGGGTTGTTATGCCGTGTGAGCAGAGGTTCATCTAAATCTTCTCTTAGTGGGGAATGTTTGCCCAGCCACTGTGAGATACAGCCATGTGCAAAAGTTTTGAGAATGACACAAATATTAATTTTCAGTTCAAGTCTGCTGCCTCAGCTTTGATTATGGCAAACAGAATGTTGTGAAGAGTGATCAGATGAATTGCAATTAAAGTCCCTCTTTGCCACGAAAATGAACTTAATCCGTGCTCCAGTTTCTTCCCACAGTCCAAAGACATGCATATTGGGTCAACTGGCTACTGTAAATTGCCCATACTGTAGGTGGGCATGCGAATGTGTGTGGCTGTTTGTCTGTTTTGGCCCTGTGGTGGACTGGCGGCCTGCCCAGGGTGAACCCCGCCTCTCGCCCGATGATGCTAGGATTGGCTCCAGCTTCCCCGCGACCCAGATGGATAAAGCGGTATAGATAATGGATGGATGAACTTAATCCAAAAAACCCCCATTTCCACTGCATTTCAGCCCTACCACAAAGGGACCTGCTGGCATCATTTCAGTGATTCTCTCATTAACACAGGTGAGAGTGACGAGGACAAGGCTGGAGATCAATCTGTCATGCTGACTGAGTTAGAATAGCAGACTGGATGCTTTAAAAGGAGGGTGGTGCTTGAAATCATTGTTCTTCCTCTGATAACCATTTTTACCTGCAAGGAAACATGTGCAGCCATCATTGCTTTGCACAAAAAGGGCTTCACAGCAAGGATATTGCTGCTAGTAAGACTGCACCTAAATCAACCATTTATCGGATCAAGAAGAACCTAAAGGAGAGACGTTCAGTTGCTGTGACGAATGTTTCAGGACTGTCTCCTAAAGTTGATTCAGCTGTGGGTTCGGGGCATCACCAGTGCAGAGCTCGCTCAGGAATGGCGGCAGGCAGGTGTGAGTGCATCTGCATGCACAGCGAGGCGAAGACTTTTGGAGGATGGCCTGGTGTCAAGAAGGGCAGCAAATAAGCCACTTCTCTCCAAGAAAAACATCAGGGACAGACTGATATTTTGCAAACGGTACAGGGATTGGACTGCTGAGGACTGTGGTGAAGTCATTTTCTCTGAAGTATCCCTTTTCCGATTGGTGGGGCATCCGAAAAAAAGATTGTCCAGAGAAGAAAAGGTGAGCTCTACCATCAGTCCTGTGTCATGCCGACAGTAAAGCATCCTGAGACCATTCATGTGTGGGGATGCTTCTCAGCCAACAATTTTGCCTAAGAACACAGCCATGAATAAGGAATGGTACCAAAACATCCTCCGAGAGCAACTTCTCCCAACCATCCAAGCACAGTTTGGTGACGAACGATGCCTTTTCCAGCATGATGGAGCACCGTGCCATAAGGCAATGTGATAACTAAGTGGCTCGGGGAACAAAACATCAACATTTTGGGTCCATGGCCGGGAAACTCCTCAGACCTTAATCCCATTGAGATCTTGTGGTCAATCCTCAAGAGGCGGGTGGATGAACAAAACCCCACTAATTCTGACAAATGCCAAGCATTGATTATGCAAGAATGGGCTGCCATCAGTCAGGATTTGGCGCAGAAGTTGATTGACAGCATGCCAGGACGAATTGCAGAGGTCTTGAAAAAGAAGGGCCAACACTGCAAATATTGACTCTTTGCATAAACCTAATTGTCAATACACAATTACATTAAGTGCCTTTGACACTTATGAAATGCTTGTAATTATAGTTCAGTATACTATAGAAACATCTGACAAAAAAGATCTGCAAACACTGAAGCAGAAAACTTTTTGAAAAACATTACTTGTGTTACTCTCAAAACCATTGGCCACGACTGCAGACCATCTCGATTACAGCCCAGCGCGGACCCTCTTTATTTCCCTGTGCTCCACTCTACTCCCTTGAAATCACCTGATATTCCCCTCTACTCACCTGCACTCCCCTATACTTGCCCTATATTCCCTTGCGCTCCCCGCTACTCCTCTTATCCTCTGTGTTCCACTGTACCCCTTGTTCTTCTCTGTGCTCACCGGTACTCCTCAGTATTCCCCCTATATTCCCCTGTTCTCTCTCATACGCCCCTGTTCTCTCTCATACGCCCCTGTCCTCCGCACCTCCACCATGCATTATTACAAACAAAGAGCTTTAATGGCGCTGCGCTAAGGTCACATCAAAAGTTTTATGTACCAGTCTGGGCTGCTTCTTCCAGGAAAATAATAAATCCAGTAATATGCAAATAGGTGCAAACAGCTCTGTGGTTTTATTTAAGGTGACATAAACTCTTAACCCCTCTAACGGCGGCCCTGGAGGTCAGACCATAGGAATTTAAATATATAAATTTATACACGCCGCTGTTATGCTCTCTTACAGCATGTACAGAGGGGGCCAAAGGGGCCTCTTCGTGCCTTTGGGGCCCCATTCCCACCAGTCTGCATGTTAACACAGCTGCATTGACAGGTCACCTTTAACATTTAAGGGATGCTGGACCTAGAAGATGCTGAGAAAGCCCTCCTTGGGCCAGTGCTGGCCAGCCTGCTCCCTGAGGGCCCCCAGCCTGCAC